AACGGGGTACTAGGTCCTGATGGAGCAGAGCACTAGGAACAGATTCATCTTTTGTGTTATATAAAATAATAACATCCAAACTATAAACTAATTAAATAAATATTCGAAATTCCTAAGATCACTGATGATGGGTACTCGAAGTAGCGTTCTATTGTCAGCCAAATTTTAATAAATTAATCAAATTTTTGTTGTTGTTGTTTGTTCATTACTATTCGAATCCTTCTATTATAATAAAATTTTTAAACCCTGTTGACTCTCATTGAAACAATTTTTTTTATTAAAGACAGACAGAATTAGTGATATATTTGCACATTAATATCTTTAGTTTATATTTGTTTACCGTTGGGTTGTCATTGGTCTAAGATGTTTACCTTAGATACACAAATTAGTGTAAATGTTTTGATTACCAATTCGAAATAAACATTAACAACAACAATAATATCCCACTATAAAAAGGAAGTTTGAATTAAATATAAAATTAATATTCGCTAAAATTCCGCCGAAATGTGATTATAAAAATAATGACCACCCAGAAGCATTAGCTACACACTCAATACCGCATTACGATATCTATTATGCTTTATGTACATCTATAGATTAGATTAGATTATGCTGTCAGACCAAAAAGATCACGCTTAGACCATTAAGATCCATTGCGATACCAGATCAGAGTCTTATTTTAGCGATTGTGTGCATCCAAGAGAACCTTAGGTATGTGTTTCAGTCCTATAAAACTGACAGCCCCCAAGTATTTTTGTCGAGTTCTCGAGAGAGCCGAGCAATTACATAGTAGATGCTCCAAAATTTCATTTGCATTCGGCTCGTTGCATTTCCTACAAGCATCGCTTTTAGTTAGGTTTAGTTTTCGTGTATGTGATGCGACCAGACAGTGACCTGTCAACACACCAATTAATGTTCTACAGTTCCTTCTATTAGACATGTACATCTATCAATTTAATGAAATTTAAATAACCTACTTTTAAAGCCGTCAACTTTAAGCATTGAATAAAGTTGACTCTAAAACAGGATCCTTTTTTGACCCAATACATAAAAACTTTGAACTACACAAAACTATGTTAAGACTATATGCTGTATCTTATATAAAGAAAAGCAATACATTTTAAAAACTTCAAACCCTTTATAAAAACTTTTATCTGTGCCTCAACATATGTTCGCCAAGCACGCTTATGCTTTACGTATGTCGTGTATCTTTTTCAAGCATCTTCGACATAAGTTTATTTGCAAACACTCGAATTATTTACTTAAATCTTGTCTGTCTGTCAGTCAGTCAGCCCGTTTGTCGGTTGGTTGGCTTGTCTGCTTATTAGTTTGTTTATCTTTTGTTTTGTTCGACAATTTATTTCAGCATTTCTCTGAACTCAAGTTGGCTTAAATACGTGCTCTTGCCGTTCTACAGGTATTTATTGCGTTCAAATGAAGCATTTTGCAAAATTATGCCAATTGTGCCGAGTGCTTCACTTAAATTATTTTGATTTATTTGTATGACAAATTGTCAAAATCAGACAGACTTCAGTTTTGTAAATATTACAGGTAAGTATTTTTCGAAGTAATTTGTCAAACAATAACAATAAACAGCACTTAACACGTAATCGAGCAGATTTTATTTGCATACTAAAATATTTAAGTTTACTGACAAAACAAAATAATTTGTCATTTAATTATTTCCTTCGATATTTGAAATACGGAAATATTTTATAGATTGTAAAAAAATATGGGCAGATCTACCACCAATTCTATACTAGCTTACAGATATAAGAACGCTGGTGTTAGGGACAGTAGCAATTGAGCCTTAAATTCTTCAAATGTGTGAAAAACCTGGACAGATAAAGATCTTCGTTTTGTTTTCGCGCTTCAATGCTCCAAATTCTTTGAACTTTTTCTTTAAAGATGGTTTTTCAGGTCTGGTGCACGCACAGTAGCACAACTGACTACTACTAGTCCCTAAAGGAAACGAAACCCCTTCTGTTGGAGTTGTAACTCTTTTGATAAGATGGAAACTATATTCCACCTCATGTATACGTGTCCATCATTAGTTAGATAGAGATTCAAAGTCTTTGCCGTCACATTTCTAACTCAACTGTGAGAGCTATTATCCTTTCAAATTAGAAAGATAGTCAAGTTATACTGGTTCCCTTCTGCTTGAATGAAAGAATTGCAACTTCTCCAAGGGAGACATTTTTGTACACTAGATGCTTTGATGACTTTAGTGCACAAGACTGCAACTCCAAAATAATCTAAACATAATCAAATATTTTCAACCTAATAAATATTTAATCAATTTTGAAATATATTTCTAATGTACTTGATTTTGTAGAAAATTATTGGAACATCATCTTCTAGGAAGACTCTTTTAAAACACCAAAAGGATCGGAGCTAATTATTGGCGTTACCGCTGCAGAATGCTTTAGTTGAGTCAATGAGTTCGTGGACTATATCCGAAAAATAAACTGTTCAGAAATGAAAATGTTGTAAAAACTCTGATGATACACTGGTGAAATTTCTTATGCAATAAATATAAAATGAGCTTAGAGTACTATTCGTGATCATCAGAGTACATAACATAAAATACACCAATTATCATCATCATCATCATCAATTCCTATGTCCTGCATTGGAACATAGGGCCTTACGATACACAGTAGTACTATCACAAAAATGCCATGTCAATCACGACGGGAGGATGTGAACAATACACAGTTCTTTGTCTGTTATTGTGCAGAATTCACAGAAACTAAAAGAAAATTGTTGGGTTATGATTTCATAAATTGAAACAAAGTTCTCTTTCTACTCGATCATATTAGATTCATTAAGAAAAGTGAGTAATTCAAACTAGACTAACTACATCGTCTACTTTAATCATTCGCTATTTCTTCTAATTTTTTTTTCATCTTTGAACAAGTGCCTTAGTTTTCATATTCTGATCTTAATTGAGAAACAACGTAAAGAAAAGAAGATAAGCCCTAGCACAATTATTAAAATTACAACTTTCTTTTTCATTCACCAACGTCGTCTCTCTCATGAGAAATACAGTCATTTCAACACTTCTCTAACCTTTCGATACCTCACTTTTTGAAAAAGCATTTTTGGCTTAAAAATATACCTCAGTAACCAAGGCATTTCCCGCAGTTTCTGGGAAATATAGAACTAGGACAGAAAACTGGATTAGGAAATGTTGAACGGACTAGTTCCGATTACAGTCATAATTACAATTATGACTTTTTAATCGGAACCAAATCACTTCTCCTGCGGCATTTTTTTGAGGTTTTCTGATAAATGGCGAAATCTGGCAAAAATGATGGATGTAAAATCAATTCGAAGTGTAATTAGAGTAATTTTAACAATTTGGTAGCCAACAACTTGTAGCTCGTCGCATTGTCTTAGGAAAAGAAGACTTTTTTTCTTTTTCATATTTCAATCATACTAGTTAGAACATGTAGCGATCGCTATTGAAAGTTTGATCTTTTTCAACTTAGTCTATGAACAAGATTGGTACATTACTGAGTTATATGTATGCAAGAAAGTAATCTTATACATATATAAAAAACGAGTAAAATATACATATATCAACTATATGTACTTTGTGCTTTATTAATTATTTTAATACACTTTTCTTTTTATACCAATATATCAAATATTTTATAATATAGAGCGAAGGATCTAATAGTGCAGTTTTTTATTGTTATTTAACTTTAAAATTAAGTGTAGTGTTATCTTACAAATAAATAAACAAATAAATTTTATAATAGTATTAAATATTTATCAAGGGTTTTAAACATATTTTATTTGTATCTGCTTTAATATATTTTTATATATCAAGTATCTATGTACATTCCACAAATACAAACAAATAAATTTTACTATTTTTTCTTGAAATGTTTTATAAAACTTTGACTTGTTTGGTTACTGATGAAGTGCTTAAAAATATATATTTAAATTTATTGAAATTTAAATATTCATATTTTCATTAAGCAAATGAAGAACCACAAATCAATCAGTCAGACGTGTACGGATTACATTTAATCAAAATGTTATTTAAATATAAAATTTTTTTATTCCAGAATATTTCTGTAATATTTTAAATCAAATATTGTACATTTACTCGAAGTTACTCTGTGAAAAATGTCCACTTATCTTCACTTTAGTTTGACTTTTTGAAACAATAATATTCCAAAAATGGTTGGAAAAATTTTTATTATATCTTCTTCGGTATTCAATCATTTCCGGCATTCATTCATATTCCCCAAATCTCTTGATTTAAGCAATATTTTATGGTTTATGTTGCATCTGTAACAAAATGTATGTTGCACTTAAACTCAAATCTGTATAATTTATCTGTATTCATCTACAGAATTATGTGCTATTTCATAAGTTACTGAATATTCATATTTTATAAGCAATGTAAATATTTGAAGGAAACCAAATTGAAATCAAGTGCAATTCTGGAACATATCAGTATAAAAATTCAACCCAACTTGAATTCTATAAATTTAACGGAAATTAAATTTCATTTAAAACATTTGTTATTTATTTAAAAGTTATGAGAAATTTTATATTAATATATAACATCAATGAAATTTACAGCGGCACAGACTATCTCTTCTTGATTTAATATTGCTTATATGTTTTTTGCACTTAGATAGCTAAAATCAACTTAAATATATATTATTTAACTCAAACAAGGCAATAATGTAATTGATTTCAACACTTAAGTTTATTAATACGACCCACATATCAAAATATCGTTAATAACATTTGATACATTAATCAAGACAGTGTAAAACAGCCCTCATTACAGCCCTGTCATCACTCACTTGAGAATTTTATTATTTTTCGTAAAATACAAGTGAAAAAAGACTATTAATAATATTAAAATAATTTTGATTTCATTCATGTCAAGTAAGCCCTCTCACTGCAAACATGCATGCACTCAGTGCTCAACGAAATATATATATTAAAACAAACAATAGTCGTAACACCAATTAACCGTCCTAAAAATAGAAATTAAATAAAAAACTTATAGTATTTAGTACTTTAGCAGCACTTCAAACGCTTCTGCATAGCAATAATGTGTCTATTTTCTAACAAATATGAGCTATCAAGAAAGGACTTATTAATATTTACCTAGCTAGAAATGCGGAAAGAAGAAACTGCAAATTTTATGACAAAAAGCCAGTGCAAACTCCAGCGCCATCGAAATAAATGATTCAATACGTAAATTTTTACGGATTTCGACGTAATCCTATGTCAGTGAAAACATTTAACAAATACCAAAAAACACACCAAGCAAATGTACTATCATTTGTGGCAGTCTCAAAGCGGTTTCCAATATTCCCGATTTTTTTGTAGAGAATGAATCTCACGAAAGCCGTATAAAACCTTTAACTAATGACGACTCGCAGATCGAGGTAATATTCGACAATACCCCCATTCGCTTTGTAACCAAGCTGAAGTACCATGGTATTGTACTATCCCCTCGGCACAACTTCACCTTCCACGTCGACTATGCCATTCGCAATACTCAGTTCACACATACTCAACTAAACAATACTCTTCGCAAGCGTAACCAGCTTAAATAAACAGTTAAGCTTTTCTGTTAAAAACAGCTCATTCACTCTCTTTTCATATACGACTTTTCCCTTTTGCTCTTCAAACACTTCCGGCCATATGGAAAGACTCCTTCTTCTTCGTGATTGCACCAACTACAAACGCAAGCCCTTCTCCAACAACATCCTATACGATCTCTCTCAAACCTTGCGGTATAAACTCCCCACAGTTTCTTACCCTTTACATCGATGAGCGGGACTCTGATACTACCGTGAACCTGCTCTACAACATAAATTAATAGAAATTATGTTGCAAATTAAAAATAATTTAAATAAATATAAATTATAAAATTAAAATTAGTTTTGTTAAACCCATGGTAACATTAATTTAAATACTATTTTTTATTTTTTGATAATTAATATTATATAATTACTTACGTCGCACAGTTTTATTCAAAATTTAAAAGCATTTAAAATTTTCATCATAAAAGGATACCGCAATCCACATATTTACAAAACAAGATAAAATTTTTTATAAGCGCGAAAACCGAAAAACGAAATTCAAAGAGAATTTATTGTTAGACAAGGCGGAAAAACCTCATCAAATGGAAAACTGTGAAGTTAAAAAAAAATTTTAGGAACCAGAAAAGAGCAAATGTAACTATGGAAACGAAAATACTAAAAAACGAGAAATAATAAAAATATGATAGTAAATTCTTTCTTCAAAGGCAGATAACAACTCTGGTTTTGATAACAAAAAAGAACTTAGAGAGCAGCGACAAAGTCAATACCGTCTAAACCGTAAATACCGTGTAGAAAAACACCAAAAAATTTCATCACTTGTGAACATAAAAAGTACTGCCAATTCAAACAAAGAAACCATAGCTTTGCTAAATAACATGATATAGCGGGTTTAGAATTTGAAGGATATACCACATTTTTTCTCAGCAGTGAAGCTTTAGTTGTAATAAAAAAAAAACATAAGGGAAGACAAACTATCCATAATGGCAAGAAATTTTTAGTAAATTTAAAATGAAACTTTTGTTATTTTAAAAATTTAATATGTAAATAAATAATATTGTAATAATATTAATTTATAATAATATTAATTTATAATAATATTGATATTGTAATAATATTCACTTTGGAATAAAATCAAGTTCTTATTAGTAAGTACAACAGATAATAAGCAAAACCCTGATTCTCCTTTATGAAGAATCAGGGTTTTGCACAGTCTTTATGGTATATATCTGTGAACCAAATTTAATATAATAATAATAATTTAATATAATATAATATAATTATAACTGCGATGTCTCATTAGCTGTTCTCAATTATATTGTTATAAGGTTATAAAAAAAAATTATGCAATATATTAAATTTTTTCAATCATATTTTAGTAAAGGATTTATGTTGTATATATAATTTTCATTGTAATTAAAATTAATGGTTGTAATTAGTCTATATGTAACAAAAATATATTATTTTCATTAATTCAATTAAGAAACATTATTTCGAGCAGATTTCAATTTTCGAAATAATTATCGTACATACAAATTAATAATTCTCATTCAGTTTAATTAAATGTTACAATAAGATGTTGTTTGATATGGAATCGAGGTTGTAAATTAATTTTAATACAAACATTTTTTCTCTCAGAGTTGAAAAAAAACTGTGTGCTCATTATGGTTGAAATAAGTTGGCATCACTTTTAAAATATGTCAATTGTTTTTTTTTTTTTTGTAAATTTTTTCCGTTGTGTTGTGTATAATTTAAAATTACTTAGTTTAAATACAAAAAAAAAATGAATGTTAGAAGATTAGTGTATTTAAATTAGTGTTAGTGTAATTAAATTTATGTATTTGAATTTATTCATAAAAAAAAATGCTCATATGATTTTAACGGGTGACTGGATTTTTGAAACATTCATTATGAACATTGACAATAGATTAATTTTTAAATTTGGCTGCACTGAAACTTAAGACGTATAATTTTTAACGAGTATAACTTAACTCTGAAGATTTTAATAGCATTGTTGTTGCTTCACATGTTTTCTTTCGTAAGTTGCGAGTGTTTTTTTTTGTTACTCTTAAAGAAACTTTTACGGGTGTTAATAGTATAACACAAATGCAATAAATGGCTAAGCAATTAAGGTAAAAAGTTTAATTGAGCAATTTGTGTCCTATGACAAGAAATCTTTTTCGAGTAGAAAAGGAGTGGTAATAGCAAGAAAGAAGAAATATTTTCAATTAAGTATATTGCAGGCTAACCGTACTGGTATTTCGGATATAGATCTTAAATTCGATACTCCGTGGTACTCAATTTGTGTCCTATGACAAGAAATCTAATTCGGATAGAAAAGGGTTGTAATAACGAGAAAGAAGAAATATTTTCAATTAAGTAAATTGTAGGCTGACTGTACAGGTATTTCGGATATAGATCTTAAATTCGATACTCCGTGGTACTCAATTTGTGTCCTATGACAAGAAATCTATTTCGTATAGAAAAGCGATGGTAATAGCGAGAAAGAAAATATTTTTTCAATTAAGTAAATTCTAGGCTGATCGTACTGGTATTTCGGATATAGATCTTAAATTCGATACTCCGTGGTACTCAATTTGTGTGCTATGACAAGAAATCTATTTCGAATAGAAAAGCGGTGATAATAGCAAGAAAGAGGAAATATTTGCAATCAAATAAATTCTAGGCTAACGTACTGATAATTGGGATATATGTTGGTTTGATCTGTTTATACTGAAGAAGCTTGGAAAAAATTTTTTCCAAAAATAAGACAAACCGACACGGAAATGTCACACATGCGGAAAGACTGGGGAGAGTTGAAGCTATTGGCCACCAATCGTACCGAGTGGAAGTTATTTGTTACGGCCCTATGTTCCTCCTAGGAGTTAAAGGATTAAATATATAATGATCATGGATATGTAGTGATATCCGAAACAGCTGTATGGTCGGCTAAGAATTTTTTTGATTAAAAAATTTTTTTTTGGGAAATAAAAAATTTATGTTTCTAAATCTGATATTTTAATATCTATTTTACAGGTCCACCTATAGCGTAGTAGAAAAATTTAGTCAGAATATTGAAATCACATTTTCATAACTTTTATTATTTTAAAAGTCAATTGAAAATTTTATTAACTAATATATATTTTTACTACCATTAATTATTTTTAATTTCTAATTTAATTTTTATGTTTTTAATTGCTTATTGTTGTACTATACATTGTGACCGAAAAGTTTCCGGAAATTTTAAATAAAACGCAAAATTCTTTATCTTCATCAATATTTATTTTATCTCCTTCAAAATATGCTCCATTAGAAGCGATACACAAATGCCAACGTTTCTTCCAATCATCAAAACATTTTTTATAGGCGCTTTCCGGTATGGCTTTGAGTTTCCTCTGCGAATTCTGTTTTACGTCTTCTATGGATTCAAAACGCGTTCCTCTGAGTGGTAATTTGAGTTTGGGAAACAGGAAAAAGTCACACGGTGCAAGATCAGGTGAATACGGGGGCTGTTCGATGGTATTTATTGAATGTTTGGCCTTAAAATCGTTGATAATGTTGGCTCGGTGCGAGGGAGCATTATCGTCATGAAAAATCCATGAATTATCCTTCCACAATTGAGGCCGTTTACGGCGGATATTTTCACGCAAACGTCTTAAAACAGTCAAATAATAGGCTTTATTGACTGTTTGTCCTTCAGGGACGAATTCATGATGCACCACACCACGAATATCGAAGAAAACAATCAGCATTGCCTTGATTTTCGAGCGACTTTGGCGTGGTTTTTTCGGTTTCGGCTCGTCTTTTCCTCTCCATTCCGATGATTGTTGGCTTGTTTGCATGTCGTACTCGTAGACCCATGTCTCGTCACCCGTTATGATGCGTTCCATGAAAGTTGGATCGGAATTGGCACGATCAAGCATGTCTAACGAGACCTGTCCACGATGGTGTTTTTGGAACAAATTGAGGTGAATCGGAAAAAGCCGAGCGTTGACACGTCGCATACACAAATTGTCCACCAAAATCAAACGAGCCATCTCACGACCGATGCCTAGCTCTCGTGCTATCTCTCTAACACTCACATGAGGATTTTTGAACACGATTTCCTTTGCCTTTTCAATGTTTTCGTCGGTGGTAGAGGTCGAAGGTCGTCCAGAACGCGGCATGTCTTCGACGGTCGTACGACAGTCCTGAAAGGCTTTGTACCACTCATAAACTTGAGTTTTCGATAAAACTGATTCCCCATAAGCCTTTTGTAGCATTCGCAACGATTCTGCACACGAAAATTCGTTCGAAACACAAAATTTGATGCAAACTCTTTGATCAATATTTTTTTCCATTGTTTTTTTCGCAAACGCACTACTGAGGTGAACTGGTTTCAACAGCTGCCGTAAACGAACTGTCTGACAGATCGCGCTCATTTT